CCCCAAAACCCCAAAACCCCAAAACCCCAAAACCCCTAAAAGCTAAAGTGTAGCTGAAATCAATTAATCCTATTCCAATTAGTTATATTCAATATGGCTTTCTCTTGAGCAAAATGAACTAGTACTTTTGAGTTTTCATGTACCTGTTAAGATCACGGTGTAACTGGGCCTATTGAATTAGAGTAATAGCTTACCAATTTTTCTTCTCTGTTCATGTACCCTCCAAAACCTTTGTTTAGATTCAAATTGTCTGACCTATTCGACTGGGAACCTGGCTGAAGAATAAAAGCTGGTGAGGACCCATTTGATCCAGCCAAACTTTTATTTCTCAATGAATTTCCGAAAAGAATTTCATTTGCAGTACTTTTTCTATTTGAGGCTCTTGAGAGATCTATTTTAGAAGACCTCCTTTGAGAAGAAATATTTTCTCTTGATCTCAGTGATGTGGTAATCTGATTAAAATTTGTCCAATATTCTTCAGTAGGAGACACACTCAACAATGGACTATTATCTCTGGTGTTAAAATCTTGGTGGTCATCATCCTCTGAAGAGACTTTTGTGATAATGCTTTTATCAGGCCTAAAAATATCCATTTTCCTTTTAGTTTTCTCAAGGTTGTTCTGAAGTATCTCAATTTCATCCATTACTGACTGTCCATAGTCTTCAAACTTCTTCTCGGATTGTGTATGGCCCTTCCTCATGGGATAAGTCTTATATTTAGGATTTGAGGACTATAGTTGTCAGGCAGAACTTTACAATGACATTATTAGGTAATAGGCCAAGAGAAGAAGTATCTGACCTTCTCAATCTGAACCCCTTATCGCTTGATTCAGAAGCCCTCAATTGAGGATTGCCTATCCTTCTTAAATCACTGGAACTACTATCTCGAGTAAAACGATCTGGGAGCCCTTTTACTTTTGAACCTAGGTGTCAGGGATTAGAATACCTGATTTGAAGTTACTCAAGGAGATCTTTCTCTCCTTTTGGAACTTTTTGGCTGTGTCCTTTCTTAGCTTAAACCCTGAGTAATGTTGTTGGTCTCTACTAGCATTCTCCTCGCAAATTGAGTTCTCATTATCAGTTTCATTCACCATTGCAAGGGGTTTTAATGACCTGTGGTTTTTATATTTGTTCCTAATGTAGTTCTTCATTTTCTCTTTAACGTCAAGATTTGGCTTTTGCCTCACGACTGGCCTGGGATCGTCTAATGGAGGCAGATGAATTACATCTTGTTCTCGATTCATAGAGGTCTATAGATAATTTTGTTATCTTACAATTTTTCCTTTTGGCCTGGAAATTTTATTTAGAGGGATCTTTCGGTCAGTGAATGCTTTAGTTTTTTTCTTGTGAGAAGAAGTCATGCTGAAGGATTTCTGATATCTTTATCCTCTTTGAAGGATCAAACTGAAGTAAAGAACGAAGTAAATCAAGAGCTGTTAGAGATGCTGACTTTAAGGTTTCACTGAGACATTCTGGATAATATTTGTCGAGTATAAATCCTTTTTCTTTTACAACAGCAGCTCCTTCTTCCCAGTTTTCAAAGTTCTGCGTTCCTAAGATGGTTCAGTATTTCTTCAACTGATCCTTAGCTCAACTCCCTCAAAATACAGGCTTTAGAGTGTACATCTCTGCCATTATGCATCCTAGAGCAAACACATCTACAGCTGGTGAGTATTTTGTCGAATTGATTACTCATTCAGGTGCTCTATACCATCTTGTTGAAACATAATTAGTAAATGGGAATTGTTCGCTTAATTTCTTAGCCGTGCCAAGATCCCCTATTTTCAGAGTATTATCATCAGAGAGCAATATATTTTCAGGCTTTAAGTCTCTGTGCATGTACCCTTTCTCATGGATTGCCTATGACTAAGAATAGCTTCTCTTACCAAGACTCCAGTAACAATCTGTTTCATCATCTTCTTTATTTGATCCTCCATCAAGATGACATTGTCTTTTCTGAGCTGAGAGAAGTATCTAGCCAAATCAGTTTGAGCTAGTTCCATGACAAGATACAGCAGCTCATCTTGATAAATTATCTTCTGTAACCCAACTATATAAGGATGTGAAGAACAATTGGTGAAGTATGCATTATAAATTAGCTACACTCTGTAATATATAGTATACCTATATTAGGGTGCTTGAGCTTTGGTAAAACCTCTACTTCAATTTCTTCTTGTCACTCTTCAACAGTTACAAATCTTCTCTTAAATTTCTTAACAGCTCTATACTTCTTTTTCTTCTGATCATAAATTTTGTAAACTGAGCCAAAAGCTCCGCTTCCTATTTTAGTAACAAACTGGTAGTCCTCCATTATATTACAATTCAATTATTATGAACACAGCTGGGGTTTTGGGGTTTTGGGGTTTTGGGG